TGTAATGTCCACTTTAGTCAGACGAAGGAGAAGTAAGTGGTAAAAGTCACGCTTTACAGATTCGCTCTTTTGGGACGTAGGCAGAAACGAGAAGAAAGTTTCGTGTTTCTTTGCGTTGTCTGTTGATACGATATGATCTCTGAAGCCGAACTACGCAAAGCTGACTGTTAACTGGTACCCATTCTAACAAGGCGACTTTGGCTTTCCTGATTAACGCTATTCCAAAGCCAGCTTAACCTGCTGCAGCTGCTTCTGCGTCACTGGCGATATGCAGTTTGTATATGGTTCCGCTATCTGAAGGATAGGTCAGTCTGAATACACTACGGGATCCTGCAACAGGGTTTCGGAAACTCAACAAAAGTCAATGGCGAGAGACTCTAGCGTCCGGGCCAGACCTAGCCTTTGACCAATCTGCATAAGCATCAGTGCGTTGAAGCAGGCTAATGGGAACATTGATCAAGTTTGGAGTATGGCTGTCGATTGTGCCTTTCGGGTGTCGGCAGAACTGTGTTTGGCAGCAGAACCATCGGAGTTAGGATTGCTAACGAATGAAGTGTTTGCGTGTGATTGAATTTGGCGAAATGCAAAAGCAGCAATAGACTGCTTCGTATGTCATAATCCCCGCGAAGATAACCCGATTATTTTCTCAGCGGCTATGATACTACCCGGTTGCCCAGACCCTTGTATGGAGTTGAGTTAGTGGACTCTGCCCAGAGCTTTTGTCTAAATTGCCTACACGCAAGGCGGCGGGGCGAAGTCAGCAGATCGCGTCCGCTTGGAGCCGGTGACCGATTGCACAGTTTATACGCCTTTTGTTCGGCAATTTACCAAACTGGGATAAAGTACACCCAACGATTCAGATACCATATGAGTAATTACAATGCTTTGTGAAAACAAAAGAGGGGTGGTGACTTTGTTTGGTGACGAGTCACATCCGCCACATCACAGTGTTGCTAAACGGACATATGTGGATTCTTATATGGAGAAGATTGAGAGGTATAAACCCATCCACTTATATCCTCTTCAGTGCAACAGCCTTCTTGGCTCTTGTCCGCTTTTATACCATACAAGTACAGCCTCCTTGATATGTGCCTGAGGAACAAACTGAATGCGCGTCTGAAGCGAATATTAGTGTAGTGTACAAAGCGGTATTTTGAAACTGAAACAGAATTTCTGCCATTTTGGCACACAACGTACACTAAAGACAAAGTGTAAACTGTGGAAGACAAATTGCATGCCAGCCAGGGTAAGCCACAAACTAAGTGGTCAAGACAACCGTGATGGAGAGCTCGATTCATGGAAGGTTAGCAAGGGAATGTTCATCAATGACGCGCCCTGATACGCTGAAACGATCGTCTGGATTTCTTCCGGGTTAGTACTTGAAATTTGTGGCATTTAATCCAGTTGTCATGAACCAAATAAATTATATTTCAATGAATAAAGCCACACACCACAAGTTTACAAAACCTTTTAGAAGCTTTAACAGTAGATTTAAAAATTAGGAGTAAAATGTAAATGATTGTTCTCCTGAACACTGTGACACGAGATATTGAAATTTACACATGTGTTTCACTTTAAATGTTTGGGTTAATTGTAGCCATCAAGCACGAATTAGAGGCCAAAATCCGTTATAAGTACATTTATTCCCATTTATTTCATTGAGGAAACGAAGCGAATAATCCGGTTTTCTTCCTTGACGTGGTCTCGTCTGTAACACAGTCAAATGGTATCGCGCCAATCGCCCTATTCCCGAGTTTCGTTTTTTGCTTGTTTCCCGGATAAAACAGTCTATGACCACAATATTTCCACCAACGAATTGCCGCTTTCGCAGTAACTGTATTAAGATAAAGTTAACAAAGCATGACGTTCTTATAAAAATAAGAAAGCATATAATTGGTTGCATTTGAGCGTTTGGAACTTACAGTTGTTTACACGCAGCCGAATGTCAATGTATAAGTAAAATGCATAGTACCTCAATGCACTGTAGCTTACTCGAAATAAGTCATAATTTGTAAAGCCACTTACCATTGTACAGGCACTTGGATCTCGAGGACCAACGAGAAAGAAGGCTATAAAAAAAGAAAATTAAATAGCATAACGACAAGATTGACTTGCAGATACCAACTGTTATAGTATACGTCCTTACCGTCAGTAGTTTCGATAGTGACCGTAATGTAGCCAGTGAAAAACATCTGCTAACTCGATGACCAAAGTATTCTCCGAAACGGCTGAAAATAAGTCATTGCTCTTCGGCAAAACATCACATCATATACTCTGCTTCCCCCTCCGGAAATATTATGTATATTAATTCAAACAGTATGAAAATGTGTCAGCTTATACGCCGTAACGGCGCTTAGCTGCCGCGCGACCACCACCAGTCGCGCGCGGGCTGAGTATACCGCGAGGACCCCCACCCTTACGCGGACTCGAACCGGTGACCTTATGGTTGGAAAGCAAACGTGCCAACCACTCGGCCACCGGCCGACTGCACATTGATATCCTGAGAAATATTTTACGAGTAAATTATATTTTTGTTGGATCTAAAAGGCACTCAGAAATTGCCCTCCATGCTCAGCGCGTGTTTAGTTTTGGCATTCCACGCATAAAATCTAGATGGCAGTGCAATTATTTCCATTGACATACCGAATTGTCAGGTTCTCCGAGCCGCAGAAAGAGTGGTTACAATATCTATTACTTTATCCAGCGACACACAAACAACAAAATATGCATATTATATGAATGCATAACCGTAAATCAATCATCCGTTGATACGGGGAATATTCCTTTCTATAAATAGAATGTCAACTAGTGTACTAAAATGAATGACACTGAGCTTTTCATCATGCAGCACTATCAGGGTATTTCAATCCACACACGCTCGTCTATCTATCCGTGAAACGGACAATAAGAGCAATTTTTTGTAGTCCACTGCAGTGAATTCTTATATTTGCGACTGTAGATATTTTAAAATTGGTGTAAGTTGACATACACGCTTGTGTCAACGAACAAACTGGAGTACCGGCGGAACTGGTGGGATAACCTTTACCTCCAATTAGCTCGAGTTTTGTAGCGTTATTGAACTGCACCCACACCCGTAGCTTTATGATTAGCAAGCACAAGTGCTTCGGTTGAGTTGAAACATACGTAATAGATGAAAATCAACATGTTACTAATCGTATTCCCTCAGCAAATGTGAGTTCCTTATCTAGTGTGTAAAACACAGATGGTGAATGAAGAATTGTTGATTCGTGTCATGTTTATTGTCCTGCAAGCAGCAATAAAAATAACTGCATTTTAATTTGTGTACATAACTGTCGGTGGTACCACATATGCGTGAGTCGCAAAGTGAATGACGGAGGTTCAACTCAAATGTGTACAAGAGCCAATAGCCGATACATAACTGCATTTTTTAATCCACTGCCGAATTCCCACTGCCTATGGCGATAGCTTCTGCAGAGTGACAAAACAGGGATTAAGTTGACACATGTGGTTGTAAACGCTGTTCCGAGCTCTCTCTAGTAATACGTGGCCGTGATTGTTTACCTAACTAAGACGCTGGCTGTCATCTGGAGTACTGCGTTTAAGGTGGGCACGGATGCTGGCCAATTTCACGATAAAACAATTGTGCCACGTGTTCTTTTATTCCAAGTGTTGCAGACATTTCAATTTTACTCATTAAACCAGCTCCTCAGTCATAATATTGGTGTTAAGTACAGTGTGGAATAACCCCAACAAGTTGCGATTCATTCGTTGGTGGAACTAATAAATCGGTTTGGTCAACCAGTAATATTTAAGCGGTATGGTAAGGTTGTTTGGATGAAAAACCTCGTTTTCCAAGAACATTTATTTCATGCGTGAAATACCACCAAAAAATGATTATATTTTGGGTTATCGACTGCACAAAATTATTAACGCACGAATGTTGGCTGAAACCCTAAAAGGCTACCAGATTTGCCGTTTGCCAACAGTGGTAACACTTAACTCTAGCTCATCGGCAAGACAATCCGTTGTGCGAATTAGTCCGGAACGCCTAAATGTATTCTTCACAAGGGTGTGCTTCTGCAGCATAGTTGTGAGACTGCAAAAGTACTCTTGCTTCCCGGGTAATGATAGCATTACATAAACTGATCACATAATAAGTCGATAATTCTTGTAACTGGTCAAGGCATTTTCTATCCTACATCACAGGTTGTTAAATGCTCATTTAAGCTGCTTTACCAAATGTAGGATCCGCTGCTCCAACTAAGAAAACGCCAGTATGTTATCACCGTAGAGCTTGCAGCATGGAATCTTGGTTATCTATGTTGATGTATCTCCTTCTAAAATCAGCACAAACAAATCATTGATAACGGGACGAGTTGTGTTGCTCATGACTATCATATAACTCTGGTTATAGGGTGAGATTTGAAAAATAACCGTAGCGTTTACGTTAGGTAATATTGGGAAATCCTTCAGAAACTCAATTGGAATTATTAACAATTGATCAGAATATTCTACCGGTTAAGTATGCAAGCATTGATCTGGTGTAGCTGGATGCTAGCAGACAGTGATTCGACCTCTAATATGGATAGAACTTTTCATATATAGGCATACTTAATGCAGATCGTAGGAAAATTGTAAGAATCCTTACGACTGGATGAGTTGGCCGTTTGTCTCAGCAGTAAAAATACTCTTACTAACTGGTAAACTAGATGGGACACGCTTGCATTTCTCAGGGAGAAAATCAGATTAGGTGGATCTCCGCTATTTTTGTTGTCGGTAAATATTAAGTTAGTTGGGTATCGACGTCCCTTCACCTTGTAGGAGTATACATTTCATTTTGGTTTGCACACACACGCATGAACCACGACTGTGATTCTGTGTGTAAAGCTGTTGCATGACTATCAATTTTACAGGTTTTCCAGTGTAATACAGATGTATACGTGCACATATTTGGTACCTTCTTTTCTGTGATATTAGTGCCACAGTTGCTACATTTTCTGCTTTCGAACGCAACTTACTGGTGCTGACGGACGTTAATTCATTTAGCTTGTAATCTGATATAGAAAGGGGCGAAAACAAAATACGCATTATCTTTAACTGTAGTGGCGATGAAGGTTAATCTGACGTCATTTCCTAATTGAATGGACGAAAGACACGCAGGCACACAGTTAACTAGTGGGTCTAATACATCTGCGATATACCCGCATTTACCGGGAGGATATTCGGAGAAAACTAAGCAACTATTTATAAATTTAAATTAACTATACTCGTTCTAATCTGTCAATAACATCGCTATGATAAATCGTCTAATCCCTGGAGGCGCTAACACTCACCGTTAACGTAATTTTTCTTCCATGTGGTCACTGCAGTTCCGCATCCTTTTGTGTTTGCGTTCAGCATGATGTTGATAAACCACACTTGTTCGAACTCACTCATATGGCGGTACCAAGAGGGAAGCTTCTTCTCGTTCATTGCAATACGCAACGAATACCAGGGCACAGTGTCCAACTTACGAAGGGCCACAAATGTGCAATTACTGAACAATTTCATCACCCAAAACATCACTGCCCGCGCTTTTAACTGTGCACAAAATACAGAATGAAAATCAATATGTCATATTTGATGTTGTAAAAATTTAGCGCAACCAACGTACTTATGTATCGCAAGCAATGCGATAGACACCGTTTACTAATAACCCTTGCTCTACGTAGAATAGATGGCTTTGATAGTATACCAAAAGAATACCAAAAGATTAACAATCAATGTTTTGTCGCTTCAACGAGTCTTCACGCCGCAGAGGAGTACATACGGACAACTTATACAAAGGATATTAGCAGCAAGCTAATCTATATAATAAAATCCGGGGCGCTGAGTTCAGTAACAGAAAATACGTAATCATATGACAGATCTGCTAAAGTCCTTCATAGACCTGTTCACTTATTCCATTGAATGAGTAAGCTGGATCGTTCTTAGTAAACTAAAAAAGCTGAAATTTTGATAACAGATTTTCCCTGATAATCAAATAAAATCGTCAATTATGCAACATCTACAAGTAATATAGCAGTGCTGGGAGTTTCAAGCGTACCATGGTACATGCTTCCTGCGGATAGTTGAGATCATGTTTTCCGTCGATGCGTAAATGTGCACGGGATGATAGTCTGACGGACAGCTGAACTGCAGAGAGAGTGGACAATTTTAATAAATGACGGTTGACCCAATATAAACGTTATTGCTATACGTGGCTTTACTCCAATAAATGCTACTGCAAATTCGCGTTACAAAACACAATGTAGTAAACGCACTCAAACTAATAACTGGCACATCACACAACTACAATTTATCTCTGGTGTCAGACTTACCCAGTGCACTTGTGGACAGAACAAATGCCAGGCAAAGCACAGTTCTCGACAGGATACACATCGTTAAAACACCGTTAGACTTTCTCCAATGCTCTGGTCGTCCCTTTTAAATACCTCGCGCATTAAACTGATAACAGGATGATTGGAGGGTATTCTCAAAAAAGAGGCAAGTGAGTTCTATTCGTACTGACAATAAGCTACTGCCTGTTAGAATGAAGTTGTGTGCAGAGTGAAAGGAATTCAAAACTCAGTTGATTGGAAATGCCAAATATGCCAAGAAAAGACAGCGAAAAATTGTTTGACCTTTTATGGGTAGGTGCGTAGTTAACAGCGAAATGGAAAGTTCCGTTTAGTCGAGTGCAACAGCACTCAAAGCGATGTAATTTTGCGGGCCATTTGCGATGCTCTGCGGATGCGTTGCTGAAACCAAACATAGCAAAGGAACCTGGGGAAGGTGTCGACGTTTCTTGTGATGTTTAATAGTTTGACTCCCCCAGAGTCATTAAGCAATCGGAAACATTTGTAATGGCTAGTTGATCCAATTATGAATCCAGAGTAAATGATAAGTCATAACTTTTACCTTTCCATTTGGGTACATGGAAAATCGCGGGCGATTTAGAGACCAAGTGGCCTCGGCGTTACTGGTCCAAAGACGTCCAGCAACTTTGATTCCTAATGAAAACATACAAACTCATTACGTTATATTTTTGGTAGCAAACATGGTCCACGGCAGCAGAATATATTCAAAGACGTAGTATCAGTTTATCTGTGACAATTTATATGCTTTACCGGATATAACATTCAGTGTTAAATAACAGGCTACAGAAAATGTTAACCTTTATTGTTTGCATGAGTGATCTTCCATGGGTAGGTAAATTTAGGAGCTAAAGATATAATATTGAGCAAGACCAGTGAGAATCAGTGGTTTAACGCACTAAAGCCGAAACTTGGGGAACGGGTATACATACATCATACATCATGCACGTTAGCTAGAGGTGGGGAACACCTCAGCTACTGTGCCGCAATACAAAGAAAAAAAGGAGAAAAGAATGCAACTAATGCAAGCCGGCTGAGCTACCGGTAACGGATGGGCATCGTTCCTGCAAGCCACCAGCCGGCTAATGCATCAAAAAATACTATGCGAAATTAAATAAAGCTAAATAATGAGACTGTGGTTGGAGGGGAGGCTAAGATGGATGAGGTGGGATAAAGAAACTCACAGCACGAACGCCACTGAGGTCCGCTCCTAGTTATATCAGCAAGTGTATCCAACCAAACGTGTTCATCTTCTTTCGGACCCCAACCAGGGAACCGAGACGCTCCAACCGAGGCCAGCTCAGAAGTGAGGGCCTTCATTCCTCTAGACCAAGTCATTGCTTGGTCAAACCTCCTCTTCTTCCATCCACACCCCCGGCGCGCAAACAACGCACGTCGCGGGAGTCGGTGGGCTGGCATGCGTAAGACGTGGCCGAGCCATCGGAGCCTGGTGCGTGAAATGACGGTGCTGAGCGGTTCATTTGCTTTTCCTGTGCAATAAACAAGGCGTCGAACACGCTCATTGCTCACGCGGTGTTCCCACCAGATGTGAGCTAAATTACGAAGTTGAACGGGTAGTGCTCAAGAAATAGAGGGAACTGGATTAGTGGGTTATCATCGCAAGCGGTTTCGAATAATCAGTGATTCGCCTTTGTCTCGGTAAGTGAACGTTCGATTTCACAAAAATCTATGGGTCTTGTACCTCTAGCGTTAGAAAAACATGCGCGAATGGACAGTGTATTCAACAACTGACTATACATTCATGGACTGAGTTTAACTTTTGCCGATAGAGTAAGTTGTATGTAAGCGTGCGTGTACACACGAATGTGTATTGCCCATCCAAAACAAGTAGGTGGTTTGTTCTGCGTACTTGATAATCTTCTCCCAACTTGCACACGTCGCTCATGCAAATTGTGGTAAACTTGCGTAATTGTATCGCGTGGTATTTTTTATATAACTCGGACATTTTGTACTTATGACGGATTCACTTATAACCAATTTCTTCTATATGCTCATTTAGCGAGTATTTATGTTGTCATATGCGTTTACTTTATTTGATATCGGCATTTTGAGTGGTTGGTTTTTGTTTGACATACCAGGTGTGGCTGCGCTTGAGGTGCATGTTGACAAAGTGTATACCTGTCTATTACTTACTACCTCGTCCACCTGGCTCCAGAAGACAGTTGGTCGCTGGTGGAGGGAACGGGTTGCACGGTCCTAGTGATCGTGCTAGGCTCGCAGAGTGGTTCCATGCAGTCAGTGTGGAGCGGACTCCGGTCCAGCCACCGACTTGTGTGCACTTGATTCCCCAAATACAGTGTGCTTGTGTTTGCCTGTGAAGGAGCGTGAGCCGGCTCCGTTGATGAAACGTGTCTCTCATCTGCATGCCTCCACGTCTTATTTCTTCGGGTTAACACTGGATATAGGGGTGTATATGGAGCTGTGCTTGGTGCAGCGCAAGCCATCCATGGTACCTCTGTAGGTGCAGGCATCCTGTGGCTGGCCACAGTGACAGGCAAACCCGAAACCAGATGCCTACACCCATGTATCCATCCACCTGAGTGGAATAGGGAATGACCTAAAGACCGCATATGACATTCCAATTACACAGAGATTTTTTCACAAATACGACTGAGAACGTTCGACTTGTATGGGAATGCATTCGCATGGCCATGTCAGGGTTTCGCTAGCCAGCAGGTACGGTTCATCCAGTCTCGTTTCTTTGCCAATGAGGTCGAATATTCATGCATGGATCCGCATTCCTAAATACAATAGACAAATTCGGCGTTGAAGCAAATCAATAAGAGGGCACAATTCAAAGTTAAATATAGTCCATCATATTGAGATTCCGCGCCGCAATCCAAAAACACAACGTGTAGTCCAAACTTGACCCCCAATTAGTCATTTGCCGTTGTGCCAAGCGTTGGCCACCATGACCCATTAGTCAAGGGGTAGAGAATTTGGATATCATTCCAACTGTTGCGTGATCGAGGCCTGCTGTCTCCACCAGATGAGATGCAATTTTATAGAAACGCGTCGTGATTGTGCAGTCTATGCGGATAATCAACACGCAATTTACATATGCTTGGAGTACGGTCCGAGTGATCGCCGTGAATAAGGTTCACTTTAATGTGAATCACAGTCCATTACATTGAGATTGCGTGTCGCAATCCATTCACACAACGTGTAGTCCAAGCTTGACCCCCAATTAGTCATTTACCGTTGTGCGAAGCGTTGCCCACCGTGTCCCGTTAGCAAAGTGGTAGATGTTTCGGCTACTATTCCAATTGTCGCGGGATCAAGGCATGCTGTCTCCACCTGTTGGGAAGCAATTGCATCTGAGCGCGTCGTGGTTGTGCATTGTTTTCTTGTGGAACACCCAATTTCCAATTGCGTTGAGTTCGGTCCCATTGCTCACCTTGACTTAGGCGCAATTCAATGTGAACCACAGTCAATTACATTGAGATTGCGAGTCGCCATCCAATCACAAACCGTGTAGTCCAATAATGACCCTCCAATTAGTCATTTACCGTTGTGCCAAGCGTTGACAACCGTCACCCGGTAGCCAGAGGGTTATAGTTTTCGGCCACTATTCCACTGTTTGCGGATGGAGTCCAGCTTTCACAACCTGATGACATACAATTACGTCGAAACGCGTTGTGGTTGTACAGTGTATTTTTGGGGCAACACCCAATTTCCATTTGCTTTGAGTACGGTCCCAGTGATCGCTTTAACTACGGTTCACTTCAATGTGAACCACGGTCCATTACATTGAGACTGCGCGTCGCAATCCAATCACACAACGTGTAGTCCAAACATGACCATCCAATTAGTCATTTATCTTTGTGCCAAGCGTGGCCTACCGTGTCCCGGTATCCAATTGGGTATAGGTTCCAGCTACTATTCCAATGGTCGCGGGATCGAGCCATGCTGTCTCCACCTGATGAGATGCAATTACATCGAAGCGCTTCAAGTTTGTGCAGTGTTTTCATACTTGAGTGAACCCAGAGTGCAGAGCGGGAAATAAACCAAGTGGACTGCGGGTGTCACGGCGTTTTTTTGGATCGCCTGAAATGAAGGCGGACGCCAACCCATGTTCCAACATATTTACAAATGAGTGGCCAAAGGCAATATTCCTTGACCATTTTACATGAT